GAGGCTGGGGGGTGGGGGAAACGCCCTCCCCCAGCCCTGCTTTGGAGTCACGGCATGACGCCCTGGGGGCGGCACGAAATGCCGTACACACGGGATGTCCGAGAGCCTGTGTTTTGGCATTCGTGTAGCCAAAGCCATTAGCTGTTGCCAAAACGCTCCCCGGCAGCAACCCCTGGCCACGAGCTCCGGCATCCCACCCTAACATCCCTACTGTACACGGCCCAGCCCACCCCACCCCAGCGAGGCCGAGCGCTAACGGAGAGGGCCCAAATCCACCGGCCACGGTCCTTCAGGGAGGACACGCTCTCCTCTACCCCCCAGCCCTGAGCATCCTGTCTGCACACACCACAGCCAGGAGGGCCAACTCAGAGCTACCTCCCTGTGTCTGCGGCAGCATCCGGGTTAAAGATCAACCCACAAGCGGCCCTGGCCCAGCGGACTCGGACCCGAGAGCTTCCCCCACGGCTCAGGAAACTGCAGCTCCTGTCTCGGTGGGGCCCACAACATAGAATACAAGCAGCCTTCTCGACGGGCTCGTGGGCACCACTGGCTGCAGGGGGGGCACACGTTCCGCCCCGTCACTATTCCCACACCTTACACAGGGGTCCGTAGCTTGCACCCACACCCCCTGCCCCCCATCCCTCGGTGCGTTTGCCCTGATGGAGCTAAAATCCCCCGACAGACGAGGTCCCCACTGCATTCTCCAGCTCCCGCCAGGGGCCCAGCAACTTGTGTTTTGGCAGCTCCCCCAAGCCCCGGCCCCCAGTTTATTCGTCGACTCAGACACACCAGCTCACATGGGCATCCCGGGCCTTTGGGGCCCTGCCAGGAGGCCGGCCCATGACTCACTGCTTACCAGATGGGAAACGGACTGACGGGCGGGTGACGTCCTGCCGCACACACACTCAGACATGCAGGGCTTTGGCCAGCCAAGCAGATTACGGGGATAATGCTACATAAGGAACGGCTGCGAGAGAGCGCTCCATTCCTAACGAGATTCCTGCCAGATTAGCTGGCACATCTGCCCAAAGGCCAGGACCCCAGCCGGATCACACGCTGGGGAATGTCACAGCACGGACGGCTTGTCCTTATTTTAGGAAGCAGCGCCAAATAACCAGCAGGCACCCAAAGGGGACAGGAGAGACCCTAAATTCCAGGGCCTAGGGAGCTCTGCTAGGTCTAGAGGCGAAAGGTGCCAAGTTGAAGGCAGACTCCACCGCCCGGCTGTAACTCCAGGAGCGAAGCATTTAGCAAGTCACAACAGACGTCACCAAGACAAAAAGTCCATTTGGAAAAACATTTGTCCCGGCTTCAGCATCTGACCCCCCGCTTGGGGCAAGGCAGGGGAGGGGGCATTGAAAGAACTGGATTGGCTATTAGCACTGGAGACGTTTGGCTCCGCCCCAGCCGGCGTTGTGTGGAACAGGTGTGTTAACGGTTACGTCAGCTGTTAAACACACGTTCCTTTTGGCATACAATCTGGAACGCCCCTTGCACCCGCCTTGAAACGGATTTCCCAACAGCAGAGCCCGTGCAGCCGATCCCACTTTGCAGCAGTTGTTTGTATGCCTAAAACCGGCAGAGACTGGAATCCAGTTGGGAAAGGAGTTGCACATACATACAGAGACAGCGAAGCAGCTACACAGTCAGGAAACGTGGTGGGACGGGATACTGAGGCCAAGTGACTTGCCCAAGGTCACCAGCAGCTCAGTAGCAGGGGCCAGTCTAGACCCTCCCCCCCCCCCCCCCCCCCAAGGCTGAGTCCCAAGAATGGACAGCTCAGAAGCTGTTTCAAAGGGGGTCTCGGAGACCCATCAGGCACAGACCTATACAGCAGGTCTGCAGGCAGTCAGCGCCACATGCTGGCTAAAGTGCCGAGGATGCGCCGGATGGCTCGCCAACCCAGCTGCCCTCCCGATATTATAATTGATTTCAAGCCAGCCCTAGAGGCAGAGGAAAGATAAACGAGGCATCTCACACTGGACAGACAAAAGCTGAAGGGGACAAACCGGACAGGAGCGCGCCTGTCAGGGACACAAGGTTTTCCAGGTCTGGCCTCGGCACAGACGGATGGGGTAGACTGGATGACCTCTCCCGGTGCCTTCCAGTCCTACATTGCTACGTTTCTCCCTTGGAGGTCTGACCCTCAGGCCTGAAAACACCCAGCCTGAGGTCACAGATACAAGCTTCAGCCGGGTTGACCTCTGCCCCTGTCCCAGCCTAGGCCCCTCTCCATACTGTTTACTCCAGGTGGGACTCCTAGACCAGTGCTTTTCAGCGGAGGACTGGCCCGGGCCCAGGCGAACTCCCTGACACAGTTTCAGAAGGAGCAAGCCAATCCCAGGCATCAAAAATAGTTGAGAAACTCTGTTCTAGGGCGTCAGAGGGTTGGTCTCTTTACGAAAACAGCCAGGAGTCCTGGGGCACTTTAAAACTTGTTAAATAACTTGATAACGTTTCAGAGGGGTAGCCGAGTTAGTCTGTAAAAGGAAAAACTTAAAAAAACCACCACCCAGTCTGGCAGCACTTTTGGTTAATCTTTACAGCGCTACTGGACGATTTGTGATTTTTTTTTTTTAAGTTTTAACAAAGTTATTTGGGCCCAAGCTTTCCTGGGCCGACTCCTCGGATTTACTGGTCTAGAGAGGATGAGTGAGTGACAAGAGCGCTTCTGAGGAAGTTAAGAGACCCCCCCCCACACAAGTGTGTGATGACAAGAGCGCTTCTGAGGAAGTTAAGAGACGCCCCCCCACACACACACTCTTCTGTGTGTGTGAGACTCACGAAAGCTCCTCACCTAATAAACCATCTTGTTAGTCTTTAAAGTGCTGCATAGTCCTGTGTTTTGTTTCAGCTACCCCAGACTAACACGGCTACATTTCTACCACTATTCTACACACTGCTGTGACCCATGCATGTGGGGTTTGTTCCCAAAGTAGCTAGAACCCCCCCAGCCACACCCCCTACGCAGCCAGCACCCCCTTCCCATTCTCCCTCCCACACAGAAGCGGCTGCATCGGTTTTGTGGAGGCTACTAGATGCCACAACTTCACATTCCCCCGGAAACACTGGCGGAGGGATGCCAGGTTGGGTCTAAGGGGGAACCTCACCGCCCACCCCACTGGGGTCTGAGCCACACACCA